CAAACAAGAGTCAATGGTTTTGTTGTTGCGAATGTACACGAGCGCTGTGTTTGCAAGCATGCTTGTGTGGATGTGTGTGTGTGTGTTTGTGCTTTGCATTCTACTTTTCGTTACTACCTGCTTAGTAAAAACTAAGCTCTTGTTGTCGCTCCCCATAGTTGCTTGTTTGCACGCCTGACTGTGTGTATTTGTAGTTGTTTTGTTTTTGTTTACCTTTTGCTTTTGCATACTTGCTGATGTGCATATGGATTTGTTTTGATGAGCGCGCTAAAACTTGCTCTCTCTTTATTCTCTTGGATACATTTTTATTTGTGTATAGTACTTCTCTACACCTTTTTCGCTTTGTTTGTAGCCTGGTGGGGGGAGGGGGAGCTTATCAAAATAAAACTGGCAGTACTGTGGAATGCTCCTTCTTACCCATGCATTTGGCGCGCCATCTAACTGTCGGCTTTTATTGCATTTTAAAATACAATTTAGGGGAGCATTTAGCATTTATATTTTTTTAATTAACTTCTTCCCCTTCTAACAGAGTCACAAAACTCGGCGCATCACTATTGTGATCTTTACTATGCTCAATACCACAAAAAAAAAAATCTAAAAATTCAACGGTAATTTTTAGTGACTTAAAACTTACAAAATTTCGATGATAACTTTTTCCTAAGTTTGATTAATTTTTTCTGCTTTAGTTTATAAACTTTTGTTTATGTGGTTTCTGTTGTAGATCCAATATGTATATTTAAAATTAAAATTATTACATATAAATACACATAATTATGTTAAACAATATTATGTTCAATAAAAAGATAAGTCGATTACTTAAGCTATGTAGAAAGTCTTCCCGTTCGTCCGCTTACGCCATATCTCGATATATCAACGAAATTTGGTACGTAGGCTGCTCTTCATCCAGGGTAGGTTGGTATTTAAAATGGGCTTAATCGGACAATAGCCACGCCCACCTACGATTTTTTCACCGTATTGTGAGAGTGAATTCCTATTCACATGAGAATTATTCTCATAGTTTACCAGAACCTTAAAGGAAAATTTCCTTGGAGAAGCGGATACCAGATGGGAACGCGCTGAAATGTACAATAAAACGAAGCTCACGTGGCCTAAATGGAGCATAAGGAGATCAAGAGAAATTTTCATTCTCAATGCAGAACGCCTGGGGGTCAGCCATAATGACTACTGCAGGAGCTGCTACGTGTAGACCCTGAATGAATCAGGCGGTTTTTCTGCGATTACCCTGTACTATGCAGGAAACGGCAGAATTTCCTTGGAATATGATTTTTTAAACTATCTAAGCGCAACTGCAAACTTTGGAATACGGGCAGTTGCTAAGGCTCGAAGACTCCACGAACTGGTTGAAGAAGTAGGCGTTTTGAATCCATGTGTTATCACTAGGGCAAACCAAAATATGCTACGCTCTCAATTTTACTCTCTATTTTTCTCTTACGCTCTCGCTCCAAGTACTTACTGGAAAAGTTATTGAATGGACCTTTTATTTCCAGCACCTAAAATGTTCTAAATTTCATAAAAGTGTATATACATAAATATTTGTGTTTAATAATTCATATTTATTCAATTTGTTTTTAAAACATATGTATGAAAGTACACGGAATCTAATTCACAAATTGCTTCACATAGGAATTCATACTGTGTATGTNCCACGATTTGTGTCTCGTTGCGTAACCTAGTACTAGTAATAATAAAGACTTCCCTAACAAAACATATTTACTTGCGTTTGCTGAAATCCAATATTTCGATATCATAAAAAAATCCAAAACATGAATTGGAATCGTATACTAAATGAAATTAAAACTGATATCGATATCGATGAATGTTTAAACCTAAACATAAACTATGAAATGTTCAGATTCTTCTTCAGTTTTTAACCGACTCCAAAAAAAGGAGGAGATTATCAATTCGTCGGAATATATTTTTCAGCTACATATCGTCGTTTCAAGTACAAAATCGCGTATCAAGGAAATGCAAAACCTCCAATGTGAGGTTGCCCAAATTTTTTTGGAGAGTAAAACTTGTCCTATTTCAAAACGGCTCTCTCTTTTATTCTTAATTATCTCTTCCTCTTATATCTAAGTATGGATAAGGGCTTGATGCCAGGTGTTTCCGGTGCACGAATATGTTTTTTGGCACAAGTGCCACGATACGCGGTTTTTTATTTTAAACGACGATATTTAGATTCGAGTTTTCATTTAAAATATAAAATTTTTGTAAAGATTTTAATGTATATTTGAAATTTTATTACAATCTATGACAAGTAAAATACAATGGAATAGACACTTGTAAAAGATTATCAAATGCTTAAATACTGCAACAACTATTTGTTTAAAGTATAGAGCCTAGTCAAACTTAAAATAAAGATCTATGGTTTAAGAATAAAAATGTATGTTTACTTAAGAAAACCAATAATAATCCTACATACGCTATGCTTAACAGCTAATAAAGCACTTTAAACTCTTCTGCATATTACCGATTTCTTAAAAAATTTATAATAAATACATTTTAGCAAATACATATATGTAACAGTAAAAATGCATAGCTCAGACTACGTCCACACGGCGGTGGGGATGAGTCCCTCTTTACTGGTACCAGGCGGTGTCAGCACTTCCTTGTCAAGGAAGTCCAATGGAAGATTGACTAGGAATCCCTAAATGAGTGGATACACTAATTATATACGCGTACATTTAGTATTAAAATCAGTACACACCTGAATATTTGCCATCCGCTTGGCCGCCACCTCCGGATCTGATTTGCATAGCGGCGGCTCTTCCTGATATTTTCGCAAATCCACATACGACTTCACCTTATCGGTAGGTATGCACTTGAAAACTTCTTCGTATATCTCTGTATTACGCGTTGACGTACGACGCCACATCCCATTCCAAAATTGATCGATTACCGGGTCGGTTACATCAATTGGCATGCGATCGGCATCGGGGTCAAGTAGACCTAAATGCTCTTTGAATAGGAATTTGCGTAGCCTGCCCGCAAATACACCACTCGGATACTTTTTGCCATTCATGCGTCCGTCCTCGAACTCTTCATCGGCTATGATCGCAGCGATTTCCGAATCCCGCTTGCCGATCATCGAGCGATCGTTGATATTTGCCGAACCGCAAATTACCACGCGATCATCGGCGATTAACAACTTTGAATGCACATAAATGAGTTCAGTAATGGGCGTGTTATTCAATTGCGAGTTTGTGCGCAAGCTATGGAAGGATATATACTCGCCGGGATCGCTAATGCCGACCTCCTTGAGGCGTGTGAGTATCGCAGAGCGGCCTCTATGTGAGGGAAAAAATAAAGCCCAATGCACCCAATTTCAAGTCCGATATTTGCTTACCTCGATATCGACGCGTAATTCCAATGCGTGATTGCTCGCACCGCGTTGCCAGTGCTGCCACCAACGTCGCCCTCAAAGCCAGGCAGCAGTGGAATGATCACAAAAACGCGAAAGGTTTTGCGCTCCCTTAAAGCGAAACGTTTGCAGGAAATAATATATAAATAAATCATAAGAATATCTCTCACTCCCTAACGCTACTCATACTTACTTGTACGCTCTTACTATGCGCTTGAACAGTGTCTCGCCAATTTGATTGCGCACATTACCATATGCGCCCGTCGCGCCCAGCTGCATTGTGATGAAGAACTGATTCTCGATGTAGATGTAGTGCTGCGCCTTGGTTATTGTCTGTATGTAAGCGTCATGTATGCTCTGCTCCACCAAATCCTGTTCGATGAAGCCGCAGCTCCATGAAGAAGCGCTACGCAGCAATTGGCAAGTTACGCGATTTTGTCGCTTCAATACAATATTCGGATTCAGTTTGATGTTGGTGTAACTCTTTGGCATTAGATAGGGAAAGTTCGCATTATCGCGCATCTTCTCTAGCTTCACAGCATTCCAGCGCTGTATGAAATGGCGCGCCACGTCACGCGCCGCCGATCCCACCAAACACATGCCCACATCATGCCACGGCATACGTGGCGTTGATGATCGATCAATGATGTCGACCAGCGGCGCATCTAAATTCATCCAATCTTTCAGTATGAAATTGGAATAGTCCTTGCCGAACCAGTACTTCGCTTGGCCGTAATAGTCGTTGAGAATTTGCGTTTGGAAAGGTGTTGGATCCTCCAGCCCGCCTAGACGCCCCTTTTCTACCTCGTCTATGGTGAACACCAGCTGTTTGGGATCTTTCAGCACATCTGGCGATTTGTCGCCCATTCCAGCGCGTTCCTGCTCGGTCATTGTTAGCCTACTCACCAAGTCTTTACCCTTGCGCATCGCATTGGTGGTAATCTTCTCCAACACATTCTTACGCTCCAACTCAGGAGTGTTCAGCTTCATGCCTTCGACGGCGACCGGTTCGTCAACGGTGGATGAGAGCAGCTCAGGTATTACGAGTTTTTCGCCCGGCGAGAGGGTGCGAAGTTCGACCTCCTCAAATTCTGGTTCTGCATAGCTGACGGTTAGCTGCTCTCTTTTCTGAAAATCTGTGCTCACATTGCTTGTTTCCTTGCGCGAAGACTTCTGCGAACCAAAGGCAGAGTCACCATCGTCTTTGGCAAAGAAGCTGGTAAGGTGACGCGTGCTGCCGGAAGCCGAGGCGGTGGAGACGCTGCCAAGATCAGTGAGACGGTGGCGATAGTCATCCCAACGGCCGTAGCAAAGATCTAGACCGCCGATGAAAGCGTAGGTCTGATCGACGACCACAATCTTTTCGTGATGCGCCCAGAAGAACACGCCGGCGCGCGCATGGTCAGGATGGCGGAGAACCTGAGGGAAATGAAAATAGTACGTAGAAGCTGAAATCAAGCATTGGCTCCAAATAATATTAATAATTTGCTCACCTTAATATTCTCGTGGGAAAGCCTCTGTTTGCTATAGTAACTATTTATGCCCAAAGCCATTTCGACCTCCTTGTAAAGCAACACGAAGATTTTAATACCCTGCGACTGTGTGTGAAGTGGCGAGAGAAATATGATATGCGTAAAAAAGTAGAATTCATTACTGCTTCTCTTAACTCACCGCACGCCGTTGCAGTATCTTGTCCAGCCGCCAGTAGTCGCCATCGACCGCTGGTCGTTTCATATAAATTTCTGGACTGAGCCACCAATCGGCTATGAAAATTTCCTCCTTCGCCTCTTCGAGTGCATCCGCTATCGCGCCCATGTATGTGGACCCATCCACGTGCCAACTTGCTTGTATACCCGAACGCACTGGCGCATAGGACATATGCGGGTTGGGATAGGTGAAGTCACGCGCATAGCTATTCGCCGTCTTTTTAAGATACTGCATCCACTCCTTGCACTTCCGGCGCGTCCAACACTTGAGTATGATGTGACGGCTGTTGGTGAGCACTTGCAAACCTTTGCGCATGCCCGTCTGATAGATGCCGGTAGAGACGTCGAAGCCCTGATCGAATAATATCACAGATCTGTGGGGGCGTGAAATAGGAAACCAAATTTAAGTGTTGACTCCAGTCAGTATCATTACTCTGTGCGCGATTTTACCTAATAACACCATCGGGACGTATGTAGCCGAAGAAGGTTTCCTTTACAAAGAACCAGCGATTCCGCCACTTGCCGTACAGCACATCCGAACAGAAAAAGCTGCAGCGCACGCAGCATTTCTGCTGAAAGCAGCCAAAAAAATTGCAGCCTGCCTGGCCGGGACGTGTTGAGCCTGTGCGCTTAAGTATAGCACCCTCCTTACCTTTGATACCGAGATCAGAGACAAAGGACACATTTGAGACTTCGACGAAGTTCAGCTGTTGGAGCAGATGCGATATTTAGCATGATAGTCTTAAAACTTAGAGCACAAGCGCATTCTTACTCACCGTTTCGTGATGATTTCTATACAAGCTGATGTTCAGCAAATTGTACAGATAATCCTCAAGTTGCTTTATGCGCAGCGGCAGTGACTCGACTGTTATAAGCGACTCCGGGCGATTTGGAAAACGCGGCAGCTTTCGTTTCTTCTTTTTCTTTTTCCCCATAAGCCCCAGCGTTGCCAAAGGACTGCTGCTGGCGCTCGCCACCGCCAACGTATCAACCGGATTTCCATTGACATTGCCAGTGTATTGAACTTTGTGGTTGGTCTCCATCACCATTGTCTGCGTCTGTGTTTGCTGCAGGGACTTTAGGCGCGCCTCATCGGCCATTTGTATGGCAGCTTTCTTAAGCGTTGCGCGCTTTTCCTTATGGCTGCGCATCGGGAAGGGAATGTTCAATGAGGTACGGAAGAAACTGAGTTGTTGATGTAGCGAATTGAAATGTTTGTAGCGGCGTTTGATGGTCCACGTGAAGGGTCCATGCGTCAGTTCAATGGTGTATCTAGAGAACCGAAAAGGAGAGGGATTAAGTGATCGAAAACTGTCGCGCCCTGAGCATAAATGTATATATGTATGTACTCACAAATTTGGATTCAATAAATGCGTCGTTACACTGCGTTCATTGTCGATTATTCGCACTTGTATTTCAGTGCCGGGTATGAACACTTTTCGTTGGAAGGAATTAAATTTCACGCTCGG